GCATGTGTGTAGCCTATGGGAAAGGGGGTAGTCCATTATCTCTGCATATCTCTTTTCAGATCTTSTGATTTTTGAGGCCATGGAGGGGATGAGATATGGCTGCCAGCTTGGTCATCACTGGAGGGTCAGTGATGGAGGTGAAGGTGAGGATGTACTGAAGCAAAGATCCAACACGTTTGGTGGATGGGCTGCAACTCCCTTGCCTGGGCCACCAGGACACGGGAGAGGGCACATGCTGGCAGTGGGGTCAGGCAGGAGAAAACTCACTGTAACTTCAGAGAGAAAAGGATTAACCTTTGACAGTCCTATTCTTAAATATACACTGGAAAATCCCTCCCTTTATAATATGTGGCCTTTCTTGTGCTGAAATCAGTAGTGTTCCTGAGGGCCACAGGTACACTTAATGCTTAAACTCTATGAACTTCAGTAGGATGACTTCCTAATTTAGATAGTACCATAACTCAGAAATCAGAGAGTTTGGGGGTTTTTTAAGAGCTCCAAGTGTTTACCAATGTCAGTGACTTGACTGCAGGCAGAARGCCAGAGATTACCCCAGAACAGAGGAACTTCAGAAATTACTTCTGCAGTAGTTCCAAAGCTAGATCTGCAAAATGAGTTATCCTCTAGAAATCCAGCTAGTAGCCAATAAGAGTGCTGAAATATCAAGAGAGACATTCAGTGCCAAAGCTAAGAAATATGACATTGAAAAATACAGAGAATAGAAATTATGGTTTTAATGGCACTATCAGTTGAAAAGGGCATGGTTTTTATTTTCCCATTAAGATGCCTACTTTTAGCTCCCTATAGCATAAAATGTTTTCTATACTCCCTGARTACAATATCTACAACAATTTGTGAAGACTTTCACCACTGCACCTATATTTTGTTATTGAATCCCACAGAAGTTATGATTACATAGTCCCATTGAATGAGTTTTGGGAAAGAGCATCCTCACCTTTGCTAATRTCTATTATTTTTGCAGTTGCAGTTATTTCTAGATTCTTAAACCATCATTATGGGAAATCAGGCTGATTTCTTCTAATCATTCAAAATAAGCCAAGGAAGTAATTAAAAGTTTTCACTTCACTGGTGACACTTTTATTACTCCAAATGTGTCATCACACAAAAATCATCTACTGTGGGGTTTTGTAAATAAACAAGTCTCAAGACAATTCCAACAAGAAATTTTATGTATTTATACAAATTATTCCTTCTTGGGTGTAAAGATAGCAACCCGTGATCTGAATGGGAGATCAACCATAACTCAATAGTTTTGAGTATGCTGAGTTCTGAGTGTCAACCTGAGTGTGCAAATGATATTCATGTCCTGTGGACATCTCACATCCTAAGGAGAAATTTAAAAAAAAAAAAAAAAGTCAATGTTCATTTTAAAAAAAAAAAAAAAAAACAAAACTAAAAAAAAAAAAAAAAAAAGCATTATTCATCTTGCAGAGAGAGGAATTATGGGAACTGAGTGGAAATATTAAAGCATAACAGGGAGTCAAGGGAAAAACTGTTCACCACTCCTTTGAATATCATATGTATGGTGTTACATGAAGTCCGTGGAGATCAGTAATGTGATAGGAAATTGGGAGCTTAAATTATCACCCATTGTTACATGTTGTGGAGGAAACAACTCTTCTAGCAGAGGGTGGCACAGCTTTTAATTTAAAGTCATCCAGTAGAAGGGAAGACCTGATTGCTCCCAGATTCAGAATTCACAAATTACTGAGCAGATATATTTCACTTCCTTTTTCTTTCTCAAGAAAAGGGCCAAGGACTCCTACAGTTGAGACTACTGAGGAATCCTACTAGTTGTGCAAAATACTGACTTCTAGAAATTTCCCACAGCCTTAGATAACCATAATGCCTTTCTGTTTCTCAAGTAGGTTTTACATCATCRTCAAAAGAAGATCTCAGTAATCATGTAGCCCTGAGCCACAGGTGATTCAATCCATGCTCATACAAACAATGCTGAAGGTAGAAATGTATGAGCTGAAGGTAGAAGGATGGTTCTCTTACATAGCTCAGAGCTATGGTCACTGAAGGCCCTCAGCTCCACAAATCACACAGAACAACATGCATTTTGTGGTGGGGAACAAGAGAAGCCAGGTACACCCTATTCAATCAAGAGGTTATTCAAGAGGTTAGTCATGTAGGAACAGCAGACGACAACTCTTGTGTACTGTGAGCTTTACATGGATGTGTTTGAAGAACTAAGCCCACGTGGATCATTTGTAATACAGGAGTTATTTAACTGATTTCAGGGTGTGATATTTATATGATGTAGCAGAGCAGAGCACATGTCAGAGGCAGAATCAGAGAATTCCCTTTAGCATGTCTTATCTGGGCAGGTATTCCTCCCCTTAAAATTTAGTGTGAAAACGGTCAAGTCAACAAAAATTTTGCATAAGTAAAGATTTCAGGGTTTGATCTAACCTCAAGTCACATCCTTTCCATTGGTTGTAGTGAATCATACAGGAGCTCCTAAGATTGATGGTTCAAACCTTCATGAAAAGACACTAAAGCCTTTTCATTTAGATGATTTTCTATAACTGACACTCTTGGGCTATGACAGCTAATCTCTAGGAGGCAATGAAAGGCTTACCAGAAAATTTGGTTGAGGAAGTAGAAGATTTATCTCTACCAACTCAAAGGGCTAAGTACTTAAGGCTAGAGCAGAACAGCCCTTAGAGAGAAGAGTTTGTGGGCCCCCGGAATTTTCTTCTTCATAATGACTCTCTGTGCTTCTTGCATGCTATAAAAAACATCCCTTTTTGCATTTCAGCATCTCTATTTCCTTTGATCTCTACAAATTTCTCATTGATGCTAATAGAGAATGACACTGATGGGGAATATTTTTGCAACAGGGGGAGCATAGAATTGTTATTCTGGCGAAAGCAAAAACAATATGACTTTAGCAGAGTATTTAAAAGGCTTTACTCAAAGCTGTGCAATTGAACAGGGTGTTAGGCTTCCTCTCTCTCTTTTTTCTTTTTTTTTTTTTTTAATTTTCACAGAGATTATGTCCATATTTTATCCAGGTTATTGTGTTCTTGTAAAATTATACTGCAACCAACTCTAGCACGTTAACAACAAAAGAAATTCTCTAGCTTATTATAAACATCTTTCAAGAAACCAGAAGCATATGTCCTCTGGAAATAATTTTGCTGGTATTTAGGCTATTACAAAAAAATTTCCCAAAACACTGGAATTATTTTGTAATGTTCCTTTATACTCTAGCTTGTTAGCTTAGGTTTTCTAGAATATTCTCCTGGTGTCCCAGTACAGTACCTTCCTTGGGTTACTCAGGGAAGCTGCAGAAGTAGTCCAGAAACTCAGCAATTTGTGTCTGTCTTTGCAGTAGTGATTACCTAGTAAGTGTGTGCCATCAGTGAAAAAAGACAGTGTAGACACCAGGTGTGCAATAATTATAGTTGGAAAGAAAAAGTAATTTTATCCTGCCGAGATTTGGCAGGATGATGATAATAACTTTTGCCCCAAAGCAGACTGAAAATTTAAAATCTGAAAAATTTTTGAGAATTAAATGAGGAGACAAGTTTTCTGGAAATAAAAAAAAAAAAACCCGCTTCATTTAGATGTATTTGATATGTCTTTTTCTCTCTGTTTTCTACATTTTTTATCTTCCTTTAAACTTCTTTTACTTCAATTAGTTTCATTTTCCTCACTGAAAAAACTCATTTGAAAGCAGAACGTATGGAGTTTTTTTCCCTGAGAATACAAAAACATAGACAACTTTGTTGTAAAAGGAGATAAGAGGAACAGAATTGGGAAAATGCTCTGGGAAGTACCTGCTCAACTTTCTGAACGTGCCTTATAGACTGGCTTTGGTTTAGTTTATTTTGTCCCTTAATGCACCTTATTGCTATGTGAGTTTATATTTTCTGGATCACTTTTTGACTTAAAACTAAGTCATGTCCATAGATCGTGTATTTTCTGCGGGCTGCTGTGTCTCTCCAGGTGCACTCTGAGGTGAAATATGAAAGCGAAGAGAGCAACATTTGGAAACAGCTGCCAGACTCAAGTCCAAGAGCAAGGCACKAAAACAGAGTCTGCTGTCTGCATGCAGTGTGGATCCTCAGTCATGCTAGCAGACACAAAGCTGATTTGATTGCTTGAAAAGGCTTTACTCCTGCTCACGTCCAAAGTGTTTGGACCTTGACTGGTGTTGCATAGCAGGAAGGGAAGAGCCAACAGCTGTTTGAGGGTTATCCTTGGAATTATTCCAGAAAGAAAATGCATCTGGAAACAGATTTACTTCAAGTTGAGTGTGTGTGGATGTGCTTTACTGACCTGCAGGAAGAGCCTGAGTGCTTTAACTGGTGAGGGCTGAAGACTGCCTGATTACACTGTGTACATGGCAAAGGGTGGCTGTCACCCCTGGTGCCAAATGCTCTCATCTGTGTCTTTGTCCTACTTAGCACAGCTTTGGCCTGCCACAATTACCTATGTGGGCATCAGGACTTTTTAATGGAGTTTTAAAAGCCTTCCCTTACTGAAGTCTGACCTGTATGAGCAGAGTCTGGCCAAAGAGCAATCCCTGCAGGACCAGCAGAGGAACAGTGAGCTCCAGATCCAAGCAGGAAGATTGCCCAAAATATTAGCTGAGATGTTCTGAAGTGTGACCAGTACAGTTATGATTCTGTCAGTAACTGGTTGTTTTTCCAAAACACCAGCTGCCAGAAGCACGTGAGAATGAACAGGCGGTTTCATTTAAGAACAGGACAAATCTGTAGACATGACAACTGTTAGAAAGCTGGAACACATAAGCCAGTGTAACATAATGCTCAAAATCTAAAAAAAAACAAGATAATTCCTCACTTGAAAAAGTATTACTTAAAAAAAAAAAAAAAAGGACCTGTATTATTTTTAAGGCAAGTTATAATACCAATACCTGAACCTAGGGTTCTAGCATGATTACAGCATTTGTATTGAGAGAGAAGAATATGCAGGACATTATATCACAGAACATTACTTACCAGGATCAATTTTCTTTGAGGTTTCAAAAGCTTCGGCTTAGGGAAATTATTGGAAATTGGAGCTACAAAAATAAATATCAAGGTGTTATTTCACATTGTGACCATTCACTGCCATTTTTAGTATATATATTACCAATTTATAAATTACAAACTAGTAGCAAATTAGAAGCAAATGCATGTACTTACACAAGAGTTTAACCATATTTCAGGTATTTTACAAGGAATCATAATGCTTATGAATAGAAAAGTTCATAAGATTAAACAATCTGATATGTAAGACATGCTGTTTGCAAACGCTAGAGCAAGGTCACCCCTGAGAACTGATCATTTATGATCTAACCCACAGTAAATCTTCAGGTCCTTTCCCTCCTCTCTCCTGCTGGCTTAGCACTGGCAGTGTTGCTCAGAAAGTACACCCAAGGTTTTGTGAGACTGACCCCAGAGTTGCAAATCCTCTTGGCAAATGAAGTCCCCAAGAGGCTGAACTCTGCTTAGTTTGCTTAAATTTCCCAGTGCACTGGCAATTTTAAAGAGTGCAGTGTGCTGGCTTCCCTCAGAACACCCCCAAGTAATTCCAACTTGCCTACTTCAATCTTTGCTTTGAGCAGGGGGGATATTGCTGCAGAGGTTCCTCTCTCTCCTCTGGGTAGGAGGACCTGACACCTCCTGCTTGGACTCAGCGAGCAGCATCTGAGAATGGCTAAAGCTGCAGGGAGCTGAGAGCCTGTCCCTSCAGCAGACACAGGCCATCTCTTCCCCCATGGATGGGGTGAGTGCAAACCACCTCACAGGCAGAGACTGGCAAAGTGCAGGATTCCTGATGTCCCGTGCTCTGCTGTCCCTCCATGATTGTGCTTGGGATTTGAAATACCTGTTTTCATACCTTTTGCTGGGATAGCTGGTGGCTGCTCCAGTTTCTCTTTCTTTTTCTTTACCTTCTTAGGCTGTAGAGGTGACATGCTTGTCACACTGGTAACTGTCTCCCCCGAGCTGCAAAGCACAAACCCAAAAGTGAGGGGGAAATTAAGGCAATGGAGGGAAAGACGGTTTGTCCCCATGAGTTCATGCAAACATCACCTTCTACTTGTGAGAGTCCATGCCCAACAACCTGGATTGTGATCTGGGGATAYAATGAAAAATGTCTTATGGGGGGGCTGGAAATGGGGATTTTGCAATTTTCAGCCACACAGTATGGCTGAGAAACTCAAAGAGTCTCACTCATCCTGGCACAGCAAATGCAAACTGTCAGGTTTAAACAAGACTCATTTCATAGTCCCTATTCCTTAAAAGCACATATGACCGCTCTGCTGCACCCAGGGTCCCCCCTTGGAGGCCAGAGGCACAGACAGATTACATCACTTGCATAAGCTCCCATGGCAAGTATGGAAAAGCAAAATCTTCGATGCAGATTCTGAGCTAAGGCTGTCTGAGGGGCCAGGAGAGCACGAAGCATGTCTTCAGGCAGCTCACAAATCCACAGCTGGCTTTTTCAAGGGAGCCAGTGTGCTCAGGGAATATGAAACAAGAAACTGTGCCCCAATCTCTAACTCTGGCATTCTCCAGTAYATCTGTCCTGAAAAGGTGCTAGTAGCTGTCAGGGAAGAGTACAAGTTATACTGTAAACAGACTCCTACCCAAGAGAGCTTCTGTGTTAGCATTACTAGAGTTTAACATCCTTTAAGGCTTTGAATATTCAGGGCTYGGATACAGTCAGGCTGCAGTGATTGTCGCTGTGGGTCAGCTGAGCTGYGACTGTGCAGGAGCTCCCTGCTTGCAGCTACAGGGCAATGAAATTGTACTGGTTTAAGTGGTAATGAAAGGAATCTTAACTTACAGCTGGGGTGGCAGGAGAGTGTGAACCATTTAGCTATGATGACTACAGCCATGGAGGTGGCTTGGTAAGCAGTTATTGCTCAGCTGCACCTGCCCCCAGGCTCACCCTGGGAACGGTTAGGGCAGTGTGGCTGTGGGGACCTTCCTTTTCTGTGCTGTGGGTTCCACCCCACCATGCAGCCAGGTCTCCACGCTTGTAACACTGACAATGCTTATTTCACTGAATTTTAAATAGTTTGTCCCAAGTTCCTGTTCCTCTCCAGGTTCTTTTCCATAATGAAACATTCTCTTTATATTAATAGAATAAAATATTCAGACTTAATGAAAGTTAAGATGTATCACCTATTGCCCACACAAGAACAACAAAATTACGGACATTACTATTTTACACAGTTGTGAATCCAAATGAATGTCACTACCACTGATAAAATCACTCTGGATTTACACTTGTGTAGATTACAAAAAGACGCTGCTTTGCTGATTTTCTTGAGTTTTGTTTCATGTACTCAGTCAAAAACACAGGTTTGCTGCCAAAATTTCTAAAAAGTGTTTAAAAAGTAAAATATGTTTGTGATTTACAAATAAATCACATCAGTTATGTAAACCGAGYGTTGCATTGAAACAAGTCTGCCTGCGCCATTGCGAATCTATCCCACAACAACCATTTGTTTCTATACTAAAATCAAGACAAAATGGTTTAAAATCAGCAGAAAATGAAACTGTTCTGCCTGGCTTCTTTGTAAAAACAACAAACTGCCAAGAAGAAAATACCAAAAGGGAGATGAGAATGATTTTTTAAAATGTTTTAGGGTTTAACAATCCAGGGTCATTACAGGAGACAGTAGACTAAAGATGCTCTTGCTCCAATGTAACTTCTTTAAGCACAATATATGAAAAGGCTTAGTGGCAATCCATTGCATTAGYTTCCTGCTTTGCCACTGAAAAAGTGAAGCCACAAAGAAATGCATTTGTGACTCACAGGTTTCTTTTCAATGCCCAAGGCCACACAGGGTTAACTAATTCTGGAGATRCAATAACTATACTTGCTGTCTTACAACTGAGCTCCTCAAACCTAACAAGGAGGCTCAGAAAAGACTCCTTGGCTTGGAAACACTGCCTCTTTGTGAGCTTGTCTTGTTCTATGTCTAAAAGGAAAACCAGTTTTTTATCTCCAGCTTCTTCTTCAGCCTTCTGGCTTCTATTTCAACAGTGTCACATTGCACATTTCTTGAGGGATATAATGAGTTTTTAGAGCACAAGAAAAATACAGGGGTTTGGGGAAATAACCTGTGGAAGGTGTGTAATAATCATGGAACCATGGCAGCAGTTTTTCTGGAGGTCATGGCCATTGTAAGACCTGGGAAGCTGCTAGAATTTTGACCTTATTATCCTTACTAGAGTCTAGGATGTGGAACTTTTCCTGTTGTCATCTAAGTCAGCTATTTTTTCTTGTCAAAGATCTGCAGCGGGGTGACAAAAAAATTCACTTGAGTGAACTGGGAGTTACTTGGATATTTTCTAGACAATGGAGCTGTGTGAAAAGGTGCCAGGAATAGTTGGGTTCTTGGTTCTAGTTCTGCGYGGCAGAATTTGTTCCTATGATGTTAGATTGGCACTCTGGAACAAAGGTGTCAAGAGGGAGTTTTGTGAGGCAAACACTTTATTTATCTCCAGTTACTTATCTCCAAAAGAACAGTCACTGAAGGACTAGACAGTTCAGGCCAACACAAATATAAAAGGCCGAAAAAAATGTTCCTGTTTTCAAAGCTTCACCTCCTGTGGCTTTCTGGATCTGAAAGCTGGCAAAATGATCCAATAACAAGGAAAATAATAGTAAGAAGGGTATTTAAAGAAAAGAAAACACCAGAAAATGAAATTAGGTGGTTTGGAAAACCAAAAATAACTGTACTATTTTATTTAGGTAGTTATTTTTAAAATGTGGTAAAGAAATGGGTTTTGGTCAACTCTTTTTTTTTTTTCTTTAATTTGTTATTGGTCGAGTTGCAACCCAAAATCTACGTTTGCTTTGTTATACTCAGGAAATCTGGATTTAATTTTCTTTTCTACCACGGCCATTTTGTGAGACCTCAGGCAAATCATTTAGCCTGTTGCACTTCAGATTCCAATTAAAAGTAAAAACACCATTATGATGTCAACACATAAAATATTTTAGGATGCTTAGGTATTACTGCAGTGGGAATACAGACATTTCATAGCCATCAGACTATTAATGTAATTTTGAAACTGGATTCTACTCTGAGTATGAAATATCACTAAGGGAGTTGGTGCTGAGCCTTCTCTAATCAAGGCTGAATTTTGCACAGCAGTAATTTTAAATGGCAAGAATCTCATGCAAATTAGTTAATTGGTTTGGCCTAATGGATATTTAGACAGTAGGTTTTGGATCTCAATATGTTGAATTAAGTTCCAAGACAAGGAATTTCTGGGTGAAGAGCAATGAGTACAAARGAATAAATGGTTTGTGTTTTGAGCAGAGGGTGGAAAAGAAATGATACCAAGTGAAAAACATAACAATTATGATACCAGTAACACTTCTATGTCATTTAATAGTCAGCATAACACTTCACAGCTATTTTATTTTAAAACCCTGAAATCAATGCATTTTAGCCATGCATTTGTGTGATCGAGGATTTCATTAGCATAACCTGTCACACTGAAATACATAAAACTGTGGGTTTTTGCATATAGAGTCATGCATTTCTTTCACATCTGGAGATTCTGTTTTATAGTGAAGAAATCACAATGGCTTGTTTTCTCCCCACTACTAAGCCTCCTAAATTTAGTGCTTACAGCAGCATCATTGCCACATCATCTATCCTCGGAGAGTCAGATTTCATAGTATGAGTTTATCTCACTGCCATGCTCCATTTTTTCAGTTGGGTCTCAGTTTTCTTCTCTTTTTGTGCTGTCTACCAATCTACTTTGATTTCTTCACCCTCCCCATTATTTTTTGTTTGTTTTTGTAATTCCAACTTTGTCCCAGCAGCTAATAAAAAAGGGAGATAGATAATACATCCAGGGACAAACCAAAACTGCTGAGCTGTCTCTCTAAATTTTTGTGTGATGCAATAGCTGGTCAAGGTCACAGAACGAAGATCTGTCCATGAATAACATGAAAGTTTTAGTTTGTACTGGCCTCTCCTGAACCCTGTGCTGCTTTGTTTTGATTTCACTTCCATCTGTGTGCCAGTTAGATTGAATATGCTGATAATCCCATGAGAATGCACTAGAAGTCACACTGGAAGATCTAGGGTGTGCTATACTTGGCATTGAATCCTGTAGTGTCTAAAGATAMTATGAGAAACATTTTCTGATACAAGAAGTAGTGGATTTAAACTACAAGGCTAGAAACACATGGTTTCTGTCACTGAAAACTGGGAAACAGCTGCACTTCTGTGCTGTTACGAGGCATCCCTCTTTCATCTTTTTTGTTTGTAAAATATTTGCTATATATTTTTACTGMAGTTCCTGTCCAATATATGTATCAGGAAAACCATACAATGGAAATCAGTTTTATAGCACTACACCATCAAAAACTTTTGGCAGCTGGTGGTATTTAAGGGGACAGTGCTTAATACTGCAGCAGAAGTAGATTTTTTTYCCATCACTTGGAGTCTTCAGCCGGGAATAGACTGTGGGCCTTGAAAATCTGCTTTTGAGCCCCACTCTGYTTCTGGGAGTGGAAATCACTGGGTAGTATTGTGATTTGTCCTATGTGCATGGATGGTTTAAGTCATTACCATCCTGTGAGGTGTTGGGAAACCCTAGAAACCCACACAGGGTAAAACAGGCTTCTTCAGAAAGCAATGCAGAGCATCCAGGAGAGGCCTAACACTGGAGCACCTGCAGGACCTACAGGTAGCCCAGGCAGAGCTCCCTATCCATGCACAGCAGGCACATTCATGACTCAGGGACCTAGCACTCCTTTCCTCCCACAAGCATTTTGGAAAACATTACTCCTATTCTTCAGTGTACACAGGAAAACAAATATAGAACCTTGGTTTATAGAAAAGAGATGTGCAATCTCCTACCTGTTCTGAGGGCATTTCACCAGGTAATGCTTCACTGTTAAAGAAAAGGAAAAAAAAAGTAAATATGGCTTCACACTAACACAGTTTATKAATTCCAAGCGGGCACTACAGATTGACCTGTGCTGCTGAGACTGTGGAGCTGCCAGGTTGTTACACTGGGAGAGGTATGATCGTCACCAYACATAGTGTGCTTTAAAAGGCAGTCTGACTCTGAGCTAGTCTTGGGATGGGGGAATGTATTAAACAACACCAAAAATCTGCTGTGGAAATGCTGGGCAACACACATTCMAGTGGTCAGCCCAGCCAAAAGACAGCTTGCTAAGGAAAAGCACAGCAGGCCAGTAATTTCACTTTGAAGACTTTTATTTCCCTTGTGGTGCCTGTATTTATTTCCAGAAGCCTGAAATAAACCATTCACCCACAGGAGCCACTGCTGTTCCTAATGTAAGTCAGATTGTGGCTGCAGGCATAAAGGGATTGCCTCCTGGGATCAGATCAGAGGTCCAGTGCAGCCACTATCCTGTCTCTGACAGCTGTGTATGTGAGCTGTGCAAATCCTTCCACTTCATATTCCTTTGAGTCAGTAGTTCTGAGCAAGGGCAGCTGCCCCCGCTGCAGCCTGTTAGGAGCCAGGGTTATTAAGATGCTCTATTGTGGCTTTGTGGCTTCCATGCCTCTCTCAGAGGACAAACTCTGGCTCTTCTGGTCAACCCACTGCCAGTTTATATCTCAGGGGGATGAGAGGGTGCATCCCTGGGTCATGATGTGAAGTTGAATGTAACACAGACATGCCCTCCCTTCTTGCTCTCCGGTCTTTAAAGGGCCATGAAAACCAGACAACAGGACACTCACACGACTGGCCCCTCTCTACGGGAAAGTTTTCATATTTGGGCTTAGCTAAATTCTCCCATTCTAAGGGAGCTATACAGTTCCTAGGAGGTGCATTTTGGTCCTCAGGAAAGGGGAGCTGAGAGCACCAGGAGCTSGGGCTAACACAGGGGCCATGTTTAAGCCAGTCAAGGCAGTGCTTCCATATCCCTGACAGACCCTTTATTAATGTAGAGGCGAACATTAAGCCCAACCCTTTGGGAGTAAGGGAATGCTCATGTACAATGCTGACATGCTTTTGAGCATGCAAATATTCAGATATTTGGGTAGTAAAGTAAGGTTTTAGCAGCTCAGAAGAAACTATTCTTCTCTTTTGTATATCCTTATTCTATATTGTACATTATTTCAATATTCAGCTGGTGCTGATTCAATGTAAAAAGGCCTTTCCTCCAAGCTGCTTGTATGCTCACAGCAGTAAATTGAGAAAACAAACCAAATTCTAACCCAATGTATGCTCAAGGAAAACTGGGATATATCAGTCTAGTGCTTGTGGCTTCAGGGTGACTCACCATGACCAACACACTTAAGTGTGGGTACTCCCTCGGCACAAAACCTTTGTCATCACTTAACAGGGTAGGAAGAATAACATCGATCTTGCTCCCTCCTCTTGGCAAGCAGAGCTGTTGGGTTCAGTTAGAACTGGAGTTACTCTACTAAGTGCACTACCAGGAAGATGGAGCCACAGCCTGAAATATGTTTGTGGTCAGGCAAGGGCTTCTCTATACATCTGGTTTTGGCTCACACATCTTCTCACTTGTGCATCTGAGTCACTCATTCTTTCGTGGGATTTGTGTAGTCTGCAGAGGCAGCAAAGTCATGATTCTCTCCTGTCATTAACAAGGCAAGTCACTAACCAAATTCCTTCTGAAAGCTTCTGTTCAGAGGTGGTCCTTACACTCTCCTCTAGCATGGTGGCTGCTAAGTTTGCTGGTATCTCATCCCTGCAGCTTGTGTGAGTTCCCCAAATAAACCACTTCTAAACTGAAATGAAAGTACTGCACTGGTTACTCCACAGATCTGAAATAGCACTTCTGTTTATAACAMTGCTTTGATGCAGATGGAGCCTCTTTGAGAAACCCTCTCTGAGGCAGAGAAACAATAACCCTTGATCTTGAAATATTACTATGAAAAAACAGATTTGATGTTGAATTGATATTTTTGTTTCAAAAAATATTACAAGTGAGAGCATGCTAATAAAACCCCTCAAACTTCTGAGAATATTGACACCTAGTCAGGAAAGAAGAATAAATTAGAACAGAGTAAGACTGCTTTGAACCCCCTCCACAAGTCTGCAGAAATGTGACTCATGAAAATTTTAGCTTCTGGTCCAAACACAATTTATTGATACAGCACTTTCCTCCGAAAGAAGTTCCAACAACCTTCAACTCAGTTTTGTACAAAGGTGAAAAAATTATTGAAAAGTCCAAAGCAACTYTAAAGTGAAATATCTATTTAAAGAGAGCAAAATGTCTTTTTCCTAGTTTGGCTGGCAGAATTTTTTTTCCTCACCAATTTTATTTAAAATCACAATCAAGGCAAGCAAATACTTATTTTTCCTGCTTCCTCTGCACTCTCTTCTCCCCTCCCCATGCCCCCCTTTTTTGGCAAGGGCTTTGCAGTCATCAAGAATGGTATTTCACTCACCTGTGGATCTCCTCTTGTTCAGAAGTGACTGACAGAGAATGACAAGTGTAAAAAGGAGGACACTGATGATTCCTATGGAACACACGAACACTGCATACAAGTACAGATCTGAAAACCAAGCGCAGATGATGGTCAGTTTTGCAGCTGATGCTTCATGATGACAGGACAGAAAAAATCACAAGATTTAAATTACAAGATCTACACTCTGACCCAAAAGATTAAGGGTAATTAGCAGTTCAGAAGTAGTTTAATGCTCTTGAAACTTTCCTATACTATCCTGCTAAGTTTAAAATTTGGTTGAAGTTTCCATGAATGCAAATTGGTGTAACTACACATATGAGGTGTGAATTTCAGGAGCAAACAGAGGACTGGTTTGGGTTTTGGAGTTTTTTTGAGCAACAACTCAAAACCCAAAAGTACTTCAGTTGGGTTATTTCCCGGTTCAAACAGGTGTACTTTGGKKKTKTTTTTTTTTTTCCTACAAAAAACACAAACACACGAACAATGAAACAAGAAAAGTGACAGTGGGGAGAGTGCTGAGTGGCTGGGGAAGAAAGAAGAAAGTCTGCAATTCATTCTTCTGCTGGCAGCACTGGCTTGTAATTTTTACTTCTTTTTTTCGTTTTCAAACTACAGCTTTAATCTCCCTTTATGGCTTTCATTCAGGCATTGTAACACATTCGCAGAAGCTATTTTTCCACTGGCCCTAACAGATACATGACAAATTGAAGCTGGACTCCTCCATTCTCTTTTGTCCAGCACTCCTTGTACTTTGTGGGGTGGTTTCTCAGGCAAGGCCAGGGTTTGCACAGRAACTAGAACAATTGGTCCTGATGTGAGGCACTTCAGTTTTCCTGTAGCACTGGACTAAACTAACATCGTGTATAGAACCTGTGGCAATTAGATGTATCTTTACCTTCAAAAAACTTCCAAGCTTCATGGTTCTTCTTGAAAGAGGGATGATCAGAAGATTTTGATGAAATCACTGGAAAAAAAACAAAGAAAACATGACAAAAATTGAAAAAGGTGTGGCATAAARCATTGGAACCTCTCGATGTAAATGCATTTTGCCTTAGACTTCAGTGCACCAAAATCTTATTTTATCTAATTGCATTTCTATGAAACACTTCAGCTGCACAAAACTGTCCTGTTTCAGAAGGAGGGTGGATGACTGTCAATATCATAACAGCTGTACAGCCTAGCACCAGAATCCAAATCCTCTGACTGCTGAAACACAGTTCAAAACCCTCCCTGCTCTCCTCAGCCAGATTGTTTATGCATACTGATATTTTTTATTACATCGGATCAGATGATGTCACTTATGCCAATCCATGATTTTTCTTCTGTTAGCAATCACTGCAATGAAATGAGAGYCTGGTAATGTGCTCCAGACTTCCAGTGAGGTCTGAACCTCCAAGAAAGCTTCATGTGGCAAATCATTAGAGAACAAATATCCTACTGGAAAGGGAATTCATTAAGGAGTGCCCTGCAGGGGTGTGAAATGTGGGGTTAGATAAATGGATAGAGAACTTTCAGGACTAATGAAATCTTCTATTCTGTTGTGATGGGAAGTTCATCCTGAATATTTTAAYAAATTACTCATTTGTTACATGAAAGCATCACATGTGTAGACTTTGGCAAGCATTTCAGAATAACTTCTCTGAAAAAAGGGCTTTTGTTCATTTGGGGAAAAAAAAAATCTTGTATTCCTGTATCTTGCAATATTTTTACCGTTAGAAAATGACACATGCAACTCATATTTAAGAACTTAGACTTCTGTGGGAAATTCTGATACRCAAACTTCTCAACAAGACAGACTGTTGTGATCATGGACTTGTTTTTGTTGTCCATGCCAGTAGGAATATAGGTGGACTGCCTAATTTTCTAGCTTTGTCCTCCTACAAGTAGTCTCTTCTCTTGGATTGTGAACCATTTGGAATATGTATTACTCTTCCTAAGAGATGTGCAGTATCTTGAGTTGCCTGATTTTAAATGATGCTTTTGGGGTGCTGCATATTGTTCTGGGAAGATTATTTTGAGTTTTCTGATAGGAAGGGAGTAGGAAAACCATGTCTTGGTTTTTGGTRTTTGGCTTGTTTTGTTTTTGTTTGGGGTTTTTTGGTGTTTTGSGGGGGGAGGACTTTTTTGTGTTTTGCTTTGTTTTGTTTGGGGGATTTGTTTGTTTTGGATTTGTTTT